CTTTCCTGGATCTCAGGTTTGACGTAGACAATAACTTGGAAGTGGTACGATCAGACACAGCACCCTCCCTAGTGTACATGCTTCTTTCTTTTGTACTTCTGCTTTCCTTCTGACATACATAATTTTCATGATTTGAAATGCTAAAAAGCCAGCAGCCTAGCATCCCTGAACCCCACAAACTCTTGTGAACACAGGCAACAGTGGTTTGAGTGTATGCCCCATGCAGTTGTTGTTGTTTAGTCATTTAGTCGTGTCCGACTCTTCGTGAGCCCCTGGACCAGAGCACGCCAGGCACTCCTGTCTTCCACTGCCTCCCACAGTTTGGTCAAACTCATGCTGGTATCTTCGAGAACACTGTCCCACCATCTCATCCTCTGTCGTCCCCTTCTCCTTGTGCCCTCCATCTTCCCCAACATCAGGGTCTTTTCCAGGGAGTCTTCACTTCTCATGAGGTTGCCAAAGTCTTGGAGCCTCAGCTTCACGATCTGTCCTTCCAGTGAGCACTCAGGGCTGGTTTCCTTAAGAATGGATAGGTTTGACCTTCTTGCAGTCCATGGGACTCTCAAGAGTCTCCTCCAGCACCATAATTCAAAAGCATCCATTCTTCGGCGATCAGCCTTCTTTATGGTCCAGCTCTCACTTCCATCCCCCATGCAGTAGACCATTCTAAAAATGTTGGTTTCTTTCAGTTCCTCACACACACACCCCAATATTAAGCTTGGTTTGCCACATTTCCACATCAGTTTGTGATTTTTATTTTATTTTTTTAAAAAAACAAGTCCTTGTGAAAAAAACAGTCTGCATATTAGTACATATTTCCCCAAATATACGCATTTTTCTATGCAATTTTGGACAATACAAGCTATTTTCCATCCTCTGTTCATTTTTGTATGGTTTTTTTGGTTGGAGGACTGCATTGCAAAATTTGGAGAAGTGTGGAAGGATAACGGCAGGGCTATTTTTCTAGAAAAAGAGGTGCCAGAACTCACCACAAATGCCTTCCTCGTTTTCTTACAATGGCACCCAGCTGAGAGGTGCCGGAACCGAGTTGTGGCAAGTCCAGCTGAAAAAAGTCTTGGATAGTTGTTTTTCGGTTCAAGTATTGTTTTAGGTACTGTGAATTACATTGGCTCACATTAAAATGTGAACAGATTCAAGTTTCTCCTCCATCCTTCACCATGAGTAACTCTTAGTCTTTCCTATAACTTTCAGAAACTAGTTCAGCCCAAGAATACCTTGCTCACTGAATAAATGATCTGTGGCCAACACTTCACAGAGCACCTTAGTATGGATTCATTTTTTGATGCTCCTGAACAGACATGTCATTTTCTATTTTCAATTTGCTTCTTCAGGGCACATCCTGTGTGGTGTACTGGTTAAGAGCGGTGGACTCGTAATCTGGGGAACCGGGTTCGCATCCCCGCTCCTCCACATGCAGCTGCTGGGTGACCGTGGGCTAGTCACACTTCTTTGAAGTCTCTCAGCCCCACTCACCTCACAGAGTGTTTGTTGTGGGGGAGGAAGGGAAAGGAGAATGTTAGCCGCTTGGAGACTCCTTCGGGTAGTGATAAAGCAGGATATCAAATCCTCCTCCTCCTCTTCTTCTTCTTTATTTTTGACAGGATAACAGGACAACAAGTCACAAGGTTCAGAAATTCAGAGGTACTAGAAGTATCTTAGGTGCAAGTATTTTGAATAGAAAGCTAGCTGGGTCTTGTATGCAAGATAATATACCGGAGACTTTATTAGAGGCAGAAAACATTTCACTTACCTCCGTGCAGTAATCTGGTTCTCATCCATGTCTTTGATCTGCCAGAGTCATCTGCAAAATATTTTTAACAAACATCATTATGAAGCCAATTTTCCCCTGCCATTATGTCAAAAGCCAGATACAACATCAATATGCTGGGGGGGGGGGGGAATTGACATCTCACTAACAAAACATAGTAGAATCCTATCAGTGGTGTGCGGTGAAAATTACAGTCAAAGACCAGCTCAAAAAGCACAACTGGGACAGCTTTCACATAAATAAAATATACATGTAAAGCAGTGTACAACAACAGCTTAAAGATAAAAATCTAAGATAAGCGCCTATACACATAAAGACCTAAAAATCTGGGCTCCCATACAAATTGGCCCTGACACCCTGGAGGCCAATTTCGACTGTTTTCCTAGCGAACTAATTTGTTTGGGGGTGGTCTGCGCCTGCAAATCTGCGTGCTGAATCTGGTGACCATCCAGGTTGTCTTGTGGTCTTTGCCTAAGAGGAGAAAATTGAGTTTAGACTTATCCGGAAGGTCAGCAAGCCGCACCAGCTGGGGGTCAATGGTATCTCTGTGTACCTCGTCATAAAAGGGACATCTAAAAAAGAAATGTTTGGGGCCTCCTTATGGGCAGGCGCAACGTCTCTGAGCATACAGAACTTTTCCAAATGCTCCTTCCAAAACCGGCAAGGGCAAGGCTGAGCTTCTGGCTAGAGTATAGGCCCTTCTGATGTTTCTTGATACGAGAAAATAGAGGTATGCTCCTGGGACCACAACATACCCCTCATTTTCTACGATTACATAATCGGGGGGCCTCAAGCAGTCCTGTTGTCTCTCTGTGTCCATAATTCTTTGCTTGACCACAGATCTTGCTTGGCCCAGGCCCAAATTTAGAAGGGCTTGAGGAGCATAGCCCACTTTCTGGAGAGTATTCAGAACTTCTGTCTGCCAGCCAGACTTGAACCTGTCACATAGAATCAGTGGGGCTATTCCTCGGGGGAGCAGTTTCAGTGTCAGCTATTTATAGATTGATGTTAAACTCATATAAGTTTAGGGACGCGGGTGGCGCTGTGGTTAAAACCTCAGCGCCTAGGACTTGCCGATCGTCAGGTCGGCGGTTTGAATCACCGCGGCGGGGTGCGTTCCCATCGTTCGGTCCCAGCGCCTGCCAACCTAGCAATTCGAAAGCACCCCCGGGTGCAAGTAGATAAATAGGGACCGCTTACCGGCGGGAAGGTAAACGGCGTTTCCGTGTGCTGCGCTGGCTCGCCAGAGCAGCGATGTCACACTGGCCACGTGACCCGGAAGTGTCTCTGGACAGCGCTGGCCCCCGGCCTCTTGAGTGAGATGGGCGCACAACCCCAGAGTCTGTCAAGACTGGCCCGTACGGGCAGGGGTACATTTACCTTTACCTAATATAAGTTTATGGCTAATGAATTTGCATTATCTTCCCTTGTCATCTCCCCCGTCCCTTTTCTTATCTACTGTAAAATTATTGTTTTACAAAATTAGAAATAATGAACATACAGGTATGGATGCTATACAGGTCTACTGCAAAGTGGTCAGAATCTGGGCTCTCTTCTGACGGAGGGCAGCTTCAATAGAAACTCAACTTGGAAATGCGAGAATGCATCACAAAGCCTCCTTCTTGCAACAAGCCAATGGGGAACTGGTCAACTGACAAGTTATATCAATGTTCTTTTTGAGGAAGTCATACGGGATAACAAGAAGGAACGTGAAGACAGATGTCATTTTATAAGTGTAGTAGAAGTAGTTCTAAACACATTAATTGTCTTCATGGCATTTGTTTTCACGGCAGCAAGGATGTGTCCAAAATTCACATCATGCTTAAAATGCTACATCTGTTTCCACCCATCTGCTTCATTTTACATTGAGGTCAGAAGAAGGGCTTGAAGAATTTGTCCATTTGGTTCTCTCATTCTCCCATTTTTCTAACCTTAAATCCAGTTCTTAACATTTCTGGAGCAATTCATGAATTTTCCTTTTTACACCCTTATGAAAATTCTCCAGCATTTTAGTGTGCACATCTAATAAGCACATTTTTGTATGCAGTTTTGACTAATGTACACATTTTTACAAGCAATTTCTCCTAATATAATGCATTTTTGTGAGTCTTATTTTAACTAATATATGCAGGTATATGCACATTTTAATATGTGCATTACTGTAAACATACTTTGGTTGGTTAACTGCATATCAAATGTCAGATAAGGGTGAATTTCATAGGATGGCTGTTTTCTAGTTCTTGTACTGTTTCATAAAGTGTAAATTCAACTTTTGGTGACAGCTATATTGATTTCTTGCTCATCCCTAGCCAGAACTGAGTGACAAGGAAGCAACCATGGGGTCCATTGTTAATCAAAGGTGTTTTTCACTTGCAGATAGCACATATTTGGCAAAAGACCCCAGAGATTGTAAACAAAAGCAGGATAGAAACAGTGTTGGATTTATGTATAAGCTAAACAAGCTATAGCTTAGGGCCCCACTCTCTTGGGGCCCCCCCAAAAAAGTAAAGGAAAAAAAACTGGATTACATTTCCAAAATATATAAAACCTACATACAGCAACAGTGTTTTGTGTTGTGTAGGCTCCTATGATGTAAGTCTGCTAGCCTGCTCCATAAAATATCACTGGTTTGCTCATTTCTATATATAGGGTGCCTACATTCTGCATGGACTGGTTGCATAGCAACAAGTGCAAATGGCTTTAGATACCCATGAGGTCCATAAATTGCCATATAGCATATATTCAACACAAAAACAGTGACAATTTGTTGTTGACAAAGGAAAGTTGGACATATAAAGGGCCCCATTGCCTTCAGTAGCTGAGGACCTCATCAAACCTGTCAGGTGCTGGTGTGGTTGCTCAAGAGCAAACAGGCAAGACTCCAACCTGTCTTTCCCAGGGGAGGGAAGGAAGGAAGGGGAATAAAAGATCAGGATAGGTTCAAATTGAAAGCCAGGCAGAATAGCTCTGTCTTACAGGCCCTGCGGAAGGAAGTTAAATCCTGCAGGGCCCTAGTCTCATGGGACAGAGCATTCCACCAGGTCGGAGCCAACACTGAGAAGGCCCTGGCCCTGGTGGAGGATAATCTGGCTTCCTTAGGGCCCGGGACCTCTAAACTATGATTATTCATGGACCTTATTCATGATGCTGCTGCTTGGTGGTTGTTCTGCATTCTGCCTCAGAAATGTTTGTTGTCGCTTTTGTTTTCCAGGGGGCAGCACAGGCACTTCTCCAACCACATCCAGCACAGGAACACCTTCGCCTTCTGCATCCTCTCACCTTCTCTCTCCATCATGCTCACCGCCGGCCTTCCACTTGGCCCCCAACTCTTTCAATGTCGGCTGCCGGGAGAGCCAGCTGTGCAACCTTAACCTCTCTGATTATCCTCCATGCGCAAGAAGCAACATGGCCACCCTGCAGAGCTACCCAGGGTTGGGCGACAGTGGATACAACCGGCTGCAGAGTGGTGGTGCGCCTGCCACTCAACCCTCTGAAAACTTCATGCCTCAGCGGACTCCATCTTTGATCTCAGGGATGCCGGCTCCTCCTTCGCTGCCCAGCAACGGCAAGATGGAAGCTTACGGTGGCCAGCTGGGGTCATTCCCGACTTCGCAGTTCCAGTACGTCATGCAAGCTGGCAACCCTGCCTCCACTTCATCTTCCTCACATATGTTTAGCGGCGGCCACATGCAGCAGAGCTCCTACAACGCCTTTTCCCTTCACAACCCTTACAACTTGTATGGATACAATTTCCCAGCTTCTCCGAGGTTGGCAGGAAGCCCCGAGAAACTGGCCAACACCCAAAGCACTTTACTTTGCTCTTCGCCTTCCAACGGGGCCTTTGGAGAGAGGCCATATCTGTCGACGGGAATGGATCATGGGATGCATGTGATCAGTCCTCCCGGCAACAGCCAACCCCCAGCCAACGCTTGCGATAATAGACAATACGGGGCTGTCCCAGGGTCCTCTTCACAAATGTCAGTGCACATGGTTTAACTGGTGCTTGGAGCCACCATCCTGGTCGACAGTGAGCGAGGATCTCGTCATTTCTATGGGAGATCTCATCCCTGTTTCTTTTCAGCTTTTGAAAAAGGACTTGTTTGTGAACAATGAATGTAAACACAAGCCATCCTTAGCTAGATCCCAAAGAACCTGATAGCAGCAGACTGGAATCAAGACCGTCATGTAACTGAGTGGCTTCTGTTCCTAATGGATTTTTAAAAAATAAATAAACAAAGAAAATGGCATTGTTTGTGGAAAACCTGGGGTGGGGTGGGGAGACCTATATAGTATATGCATTAACTATCTGAACTTGGTGCGAACTGTTCACAACAGAGGAAGTCCAGTGTGGGTGTGCTGTTCCTTCTGTTTCCCAGCTGCAAGCAACAAGACTTCGTTCCCTAGATCTGCACTGCCAGTAAGAGGCCCTTGTTGTAACATCACCATCTTTCCCTATCTTGTCATCTACAGTCATTAAGTTGAATCTACGGCTTTCTCTCACCCACTGTAGGAAAAGAACATTGTGTTTGAAGTGGGCATTCTCTTCCTTGAGTAATCTTTTTTGGTGTTCATGCTGTTGGGGGCCTTTCGCTCTCCCTAGACGACAATAATTTTCCTAATGAAAGCGTGCCATCGAAAAGAGGGCGAGGGAGGATTTAAACCATTAAAAAAAGGGTTTCTTTAACTTTGCAGGGAAAGGCCTCTGTTAAACATGCTTGGTAGCAAAAAAAGAGGATCTCTGCTGCACAAGATTCTGTGTTGAAAATGCTGCGTAAGGGGAAACGGAGTTTACCGTATTTTTTCGTGTATAAGACACCCCCATGTATAAGACGGCCCCTATTTTTTTTAACCCAAAATTAAGAAATTAAGTTGTTTAGCTTTTTTTTGGGGGGGGGAGGTCACTTCTGCCAATCGCTCACCTTCCCGCTACTGCTGATTGCTTGCCACAGCCACTGCCGATTGCACACCTCACCGCAGCCGCCAATTTTCTGCCCTCTCGCCACCACCACCAGTCCACCCGCCCACTTGCTGCAGCTGCCAATTGCCTGCCCAATTGCCATAGCCAATCGCCAGCAGGCCTTGCTGCAGCCATCAATCACCCACCCAATCGCTCCTGCCAATCTCCTACTTATGAGGAACGGCTAAGGGAGCTGGGCATGTTTAGCCTGGAGAAGAGGAGGTTAAGGGGTGATATGATAGCCATGTTCAAATATATAAAAGGATGTCATATAGAGGAGGGAGAAAGGTGGTTTTCTGCTGCTCCAGAGAAGCGGACACGGAGCAATGGATCCAAACTACAAGAAAGAAGATTCCACCTAAACATTAGGAAGAACTTCCTGACAGTAAGAGCTGTTCGACAGTGGAATTTGCTGCCAAGGAGTGTGGTGGAGTCTCCTTCTTTGGAGGTCTTTAAGCAGAGGCTTGACAACCATATGTCAGGAGTGCTCTGATGGTGTTTCCTGCTTGGCAGGGGGTTGGACTCGATGGCCCTTGTGGTCTCTTCCAACTCTATGATTCTATGATTCTATGATTCTACTTGCTGCTGCCATTAATTGCACATCTCCCCTCTGCATTCACTATTTGTGTATAAGACGACACCCAATTTTTTCCTATTTTTTAATGCAAAAGGCACTGCTTATACACGGAAAAATACGGTAATTGTACGTACGTTCGGTGCCTTTGAGCTATTGATAGCCTAAGTAACATTAGCAAAGCCATAGCAAGGCATGCTTAAAATATATATCACTCAGAGGAGTCAACTGGAAGGGAAGGAAGTCTCCAGACTGTGATAATGTGGAATGACAAGTTCTGTAAGAGGCTAGGCCTGTTCTGTGAAAGTATGCAGCCTAACCCCAGCCATCTTGCATGTACCAGGGAAGTGGTGAAAGCTAGTTATTAACATCGGGGGAAAGTCTTCTTATCCCCTGCCCAGCTTGCCAATTGGACCATCAAGTCATGGCCAATTTTCTTTCTTTCTAAAGTACTGTTCTCTTCTGGTTTTCCTTTTCCTTCAGCTCTTTTAAAAGTAAGCAAACAAGTGATGCTGAGCACGTGCTAAGAAGTTTGAAAGTCGTGTGGAAGTCCAAACGCCGAGCAACAGAATACAGAAATTGCAGTATAGAGATTTGTTTTGATGTGTTGTAGATAAGTGTATTTATGTCTCTAGCGTGTGGGGGAGGGAGGGGAATCAATATTATGAATATTAAAAGAGGGTAATAAATGGGTATGTAAAATATATATTAAGAAAGAAAATGTATAAAGATTAGCCCTCTGCAGGGGACTCTGTTTGTAGGTGCCAAGCACATAACTAATGCAAAATAAACCTTCGTTCCTTTTGTGTTTTGTCCGTCTGGAAATCATGCAGGCGTCCAGTTCCATCGTGCTGGGATGGTTTTGCCTAATTCATCCTCTCTTCCCCTTTTTATTTTTTTTAAAAGACAGCTTTTAAATACAGCTGTCAAACACCTCTATGGTTGGGTGGGTTTCATACCATTCAAATGGACCTTCTCTGGGCATAAAAGGTAAAGGTACCCCTGACTGTTAGGTTCAGTCGTGGACAACTCTGGGGTGCGGCGCTCATCTCGCTTTATTGGCCAAGGGAGCCGGCGAACAGCTTCTGGGTCATGTGGCCAGCATGACTAAGCCGCTTCTGACGAACCAGAGCAGCGCACGGAAACACCGTTTACCTTCCCGCCGGAGCGGTGCCTATTTATCTACTTGCACTTTGACTTGCTTTCGAACTGCTAGGATGGCAGGAGCAGGGACCGAGCAATGGGAGCTCACCCCGCCGCGGGGATTCGAACCGCTGACCTTCTGATCGGCAAGTCCTAGGCTCGGTGGTTTAACCCACAGTGCCACCATTCCAGCCATAAAGCAGAATTACCTTTGTAACAGAACATCAGATCAGAGCAATTTACAGGGTTGGCAAAGGCCATTAAAATGATATTTTCTCTTCCGGGACAATCTTCTGCATGAAGAATGGGAGCTGTGCGTTAGCAGATGTGCGGTTGCACATCTCCTATTAATTTCACAGTACAGGAGAGCTGACAGTGCACCTATTCTTCCTATGACTGGGTGGATGGACTAGCAGATAGGGCAAATTCATAGTCATTTGTCTGAAAAAGTACAGGAAAGCTGGCACTGGGGTGGGCAATCAGGAAACCAATTAAGGCAACTGCTTTCAAAGAAATAAGAGCAGCATCTAAATTGAAATACTTTGTAAGAGAGAAGATTGCTGAATATTTGGATTTGAATATCTATACAGTGGAAGCTTGGTTCTTGAACGGCTTAGTTGACGAACAAATCAGCTCCCGGATGCTGAAAACCCAGAAGTAAGTGCTCTGGTTTTTGAACATTTTTCAGAAGCCGAACGTCCAACGCAGCTTCCGCTTGAGTGCAGGAAGCTCCTGCAACCAATCGGAAGCCGTGCCTTGGTTTCTGAACATTTTTCAGAAGTCGAACGGACTTCCGGAATGGATTACGTTCAAGAACCAAGGTACCACTGTATTATAATTGACCGAGCACTTGGTAATAAGGTCTAAGTTTATAACATGCACTTTATATATTTTGAAGCACTTATCCATACTGTTTAGAAAATTGCAAAGTGGTGTACAGAAATCATAAAGCAACAGGTGACATTTAAAACAGCATAAAGCCAAAATACAAACATGAATAACAAGACAATATCCACTTCAGCAGAGTATCCCCCATAGCTGGTGGTTTGTGCCAATTCAATGTAAATGGCCCAGAGATGCTTGAACAAACAGATATGCTGAAATCACAGAACAGTCAGTTCACTCCATATTTCCAAGGGAAGGTTGTTCCACATGGTGGGTGCCACCACCTTAAAGGCCCTCTTCCAAACAGTTGCAAAATGGGTTTCTGATTGCTGTGGCACTTCCAAGAGGTTCTGAGAACATGACTGGATAACATGAAAAAGAGAGCACACACAAATCTAGCCATCAGGAATTAAGGAGAGGAATGGAAGGTTTTGGTGCTATGACAACATGTCTCCAGCCCCATAGGAACCTCTCTTTGGGAATCTATTCCATGTCCGGGAAGCTGTGTCTGTGAAGGATGCAACAGAAGGGTAAAAATGTTAGGGAAAAGGGTAAAAATAAATAATTGACACACACACTGCCTTGTTGTGGTGCTAATTCTGGAATGGAAATCTAGACTGGTGACCCTTCCGAGCAGAAAGCTAAACTAATAGTGAATAATGTGGTGTCGGAGGAATTTAAAATTGAAAAAGGGACACGACAGGGGTGCCCTCTATCACCTCTTCTATTCATCTCAGTCCTGGAGGTGCTATTGAACATGATAAGGGAGGACCGGAGGGTACAAGGGATAGAGGTCGGAGTGAAACAATATAAACTGAAAGCTTTTGCAGATGATTTAGTTCTGACACTGCAGGAGCCAGAACCTAGTACAAAAAGAGTTCTCGAACTTATATCTGAGTTTGGTCGAGTGGCGGGGTTTAAACTGAACAAACAAAAAACTAAGGTTCTGACTAAAAATTTGACACCTACAGAAACAGAGGGATTTCAGAGAGAAACAGAATTAAATGTGGTTAAAAAAGTGAAATATCTAGGGATTCATTTGTCTTCCAAAAATTTGAATTTATTTAAAGATAATTATGAGAAATGCTGGTTGGAAGTTAAAAAAGATCTAGAAATTTGGTCAAGACTGAAACTTTCCTTGTTGGGAAGAATCGCTGCTATAAAAATGAATGTATTGCCGAAAATGCTGTTCTTGTTTCAAACCTTGCAGATCGTGGACAGAGTGGAATGTTTTGGAAAGTGGCAGAAGGATATATCTAGGTTTGTCTGGCAGGGCAAAAAGCCCCGAATAAAGTTTAAAATATTAACTGATTCGAAAGAAAGAGGGGGGTTTGCCCTGCCGGACTTAAGGTTGTACTATGAAGCTGCAGCCTTCTGCTGGCTGAAAGATTGGTTGTTGCTGGAAAATACTGATGTCCTAGATCTGGAAGGTTTTGATAATGCCTTTGGCTGGCATGCATATCTATGGTATGACAAGGCTAAAGTTCATAAATTGTTCAAAAACCACATTGTTAGAAAAGCAATTTTTGCAGTCTGGATGAAATACAAAGACTTATTAGAGAGCAAAACACCGAGGTGGCTATCACCGGTGGAGGCCAAGGCTCGAAAAAGACTCAATATGGAGGCCTATTGGCCGAAATATTGGGAATTAATCGAAAAAATTGGAGACAATTGGAAGTTGCAGAGCCTGGACAAATTAAAAAACAAGGTGCGAGACTGGTTACATTATGCTCAAATCCAAGAGGTTTTTAAAATGGACAAAAAGGTGGGTTTCCAGGTGGAAAAATCGAAACTAGAGACAGAATTGCTAGAACCAAAGACCAAAACTTTATCGAGAATGTATAACTTGCTGCTTAAATGGAATACACAGGATGAGGTAGTTAAATCTGCCATGATAAAATGGGCACAGGATGTTGGACACAACATCATGTTTGAAGACTGGGAAAGGTTATGGAACACCGGAATGAAATTCACGGCATGTAGTGCCCTGAAGGAAAACATTATGAAAATGGTATACCGGTGGTACATGACCCCAGTCAAGCTAGCTAAAATATATCACCTGTCTGACAACAAGTGTTGGAAATGTAAGGAGGCAGAAGGGACATTTTTCCATCTCTGGTGGACCTGCCCAAAAGTGAAGGCCTTCTGGGAAATGATACATAACGAATTGAAAAAGGTATTTAGGTATACCTTTCCTAAGAAACCAGAGGCCTTCCTGCTGGGTATGGTGGACCAGAAAATGTCAAAGAAGGATAGAACCTTGTTTATGTATGCTAGCACAGCAGCAAGAATACTCATCGCAAAGAACTGGAAGACACAAGATTTACCCACGCTGGAGGAATGGCAGACGCAGTTGATGGACTACATGGAATTAGCTGAACTGACCGGCAGAATCCGAGATTTGGATGAAGAAACAATTGAGGGGGACTGGAGAAAATTTAAAGACTTTTTGCAAAAACATTACAAGCTGTATGAATATTAAGTTAGTGCATGACTGAGAAATGCTATGCTTTGGCAAATATGATTAAGTAAATAAGAGAAAAGGAGACAATTTGAATTGAGCATGTTATGTTTATTTT